GACAAAGAAGGACGAGGAGGAGGAGGAGGAGGCGGAGGAGGAGGCGGAGTGAGGCGGAGTGAGGAGGGTGGGAGGGGAGTGAAGGCTGGTACGCTACGTCGGCCCCAGCTCCCGCCCCCGGCCCCTCAGCGATGCTGGCCCGGCGGCTGACGGGGTGTCGAAGCCGCGCCTCCAGGATGCCGCGCGCGGGACGAAAGCGCGACTGTGCCGCCACCCTCTTCCCCCCTCCCGCCCCCCCCTCCCCCCTGCCCCCTCCTTCCCTCCTCCCTCCTTCCGTCCGTTCCTCCTTCCCCTCCATCCCTTCCCCCGTGCTTCCTTCCCCCCCTCCTTCCCTTCCCCCCCATCCCTCCCTCCCTCCCTCCCTCCCCTTCCCCTCTCCTTCCCTCCCTTCCCTCCCTTCCCTCCTCCAGAAGGGTGGCGCAGCCTCGCGGAGCACATTGTCGTGAGACCCGTCTTGGGGCTGCGTGTTCTCTCGTTGGCGAGCCGGCTCCGGTGTCCCCACGCACATTGGGAGCCAGTTCTTCATCCCTCCTCCTCCGTCAACGTGCTCACAGTAATAAATCTCCCGTTCATGGACTTCCTGACCTTGCTCGCTCGCTCGCTCGCTCGCTTGCTTGCTCGCTCGCTTGCTTGCTTGCTTGCTTGCTTGCTTGCTCGCTTGCTTGCTTGCTTGCTCGCTTGCTTGCTTGTGTGCTCGCTTGCTTGCTTGTTTCCTCCTCCTTCCATCGGACGGGGCTAGGACGAGGACGAATCCGCTCCAGGGCCTTGCAGAACGCTCTCAGAGCGTTCTGGAACGCTCTCAGGGGACCCCGGCGCCCGAGACATCCCCCCAGAGCCGCCGGATCTCAGAGATTCTCAATGTATCCCCACCCGAGTGTATCGTCGCCCTGGCTTCGCCTCATTCCACCTCCATCCTCCCGCCCTCCCTCCGCCTAGTCCTCGTCCTGCCTCGCAGTCTTCTCTCTCCGGGGCGAGCCCGGCTCCCAGGCTGGTCAGGGGCCGGGAGTACCATGTGGCGGTCGTCGGCGCTGGGCCCGCAGGCTTCTACACGTCCAAGTACCTGATGAAGCAGGCACGCTTCGGCGAGAGGGGCGGGAGCGGAGGAGGAGGAGGAGGAGGAGGAGGAGGAGGAGGAGGAGGAGGAGGACTATTCTCGGCGGCGAGCGAGGGGGGGGAGTGAAAAGGAGCAGGCCTTCTCAGAAGGCGGCGGGGCTTCTCAGAAGCCCCGCCTTCTGAGAAGCTTTCAGTGTCTTCGGGGAAGGTTTAGAAAACTTCTCTGAAAGCCGGGGAGCTTCTGAGCCTTCCGAGAAGGCCGCCCATTCTCAATCCCCCCCGGGCGCACCGCCTGATGTTGCCGATGTGGGTGGAATCCAGTTGCAAGGTCGGGTACGCGAAGCAGCAGATGATCAGGCAGATGGGAAGCGGCCACCTGACTGTGGCGGGGGGGCTGAGGAGTGCGGAGTGCGGAGGCCGAGGGACGCAGTGTCCCGCCGCAGGCCTACGCTCCCGCGGGAGAGCCCTCCGTGGGGCCCAGTGTCGAGGACCCAACACCAGCCAGCGGGGGAGGCTGAGGAGGAGGAGGAGGAGGAGGAGGAGGAGGAGGAGGAGGAGGAGGAGGAGGACGGACCGTGGCCACTCTGGCTCAAGCCATCTTGGCTCGAGTGATACGCACATCTTCCGAGGCAGCTGCCCAGGACGGTTTCTTCCTCGACCCCGGGGCCTGCCGTGCAGGACCGCCCTCCGCCCTCGCCGTTGGCCTCGCGTGCCTCCTGTGAGTCCCGAGCCCACTGCGAAGGCACGCGCCAGTCCAAGGCACGCGCCTCCTACTCCTCGTCCCCTCTTCCTCCTCCTCCTCCTCCTCCTCCTCCTCCTCTTCCTCCTCCTCCTCCTACTCCTCCTCTTCCTTCCTCGTTTTCCTATTCATCGCATGCCTCAGCAGGGGAACGAATAACAAGGGCGCCCTCGAGGGCGCGAAGTTTTTCGCGCGCTTCGCGGGGTTCGGCTCCGATTCCTCCTCGTCCTCCTTTTCTCCCTCGGGAGGCGGCGCGAGAGCGCGAAGTTGTTCGCACTTCGCGCTTCGCGCAGCGCGAAGCGCGAAGTTGGGAGCCCTTGAAGATTTCAATGCATGCCTCAGCAGGGGAACGAAGAACGACATGAGCACACAAAACTCGGAGGTCCGCGCGGATGTCTCCCATCGGCGCTGGACCCCCCTCCCCGGCGCGCGGAGCGCGCCAGGGGCGGCGCCGGAGGCGCCGCCGGTCGGGAGGGAGTCACCAGCGCGGATCCGAGAAGTCCGCGCGGACCTCCGAGTTTTTATGCTTATGTCATTCTTCGCTCCCCTGTCGGCAACACCCCAACATACTTATACTATATGTGCGTCGCCCCCCCAGGGGCGACGCGCGCACCGAGAAATCTTATAGTATATGCGTCGTGGCGGGCGCTTTCTGGCCACACCGCTCGAGAAACGATATACTACAAGATGGGTATACTATATGTTCGGGTCGGACGCGCGCCTCCAAGGAGGACATATAGTACTAGTATGTCCATGTGCGTCCCACCCTGCTCAGGTCCGTTGCGCAGGGGGATGCCGCCGCTGCGTCGGGCGTGCGTCGCTGCGTCGGACGTGCGCCGCCTACGACGGCTCGCGGTCGTGCGGCCCGGCCGCGTCGCCGGGCGTCGCGGCCCGCGGGCAGCCGCTCGGCCGGGCCGGCCCGCAGCAGAGGCCCCGTGCGCCCGAGGGGCCCCGCCCGCCCGACGCCCGAGAGGAGTTGGCTGCGCTGGCCCGCG